GTGTGTGTGTGTGTGTGTGTTTGTTGTCTTTCTGTTTTCCTTTTTTTTTGGGGGGGGGGGGGGCAAATGTACCTGTTTTAACGGAAGGGCATGTGCGCACGTTATTTGTTATGTTGTTTTGTTCTTAAGAAGAAAAATTGAACATGGGAGAGGAAAAAAATGAAAAAACGAGGGTGTTCATCGCTCCCAGCTTTGCGCAGGAGTGGAACTGATGAATGAATGGAACACGCTGATTTGCATCCCTTCCGGCTTCGGGGGTTGCGGCCCGAGTGGAAACAAGCCGACAGCTGTGGACTGGGCAGACTGGTGTTACGGTCCTCCATTCACCTGGGGAAGTAGATACTGGGATGGCACCCCACAGATGGCCTATGACTTTTATGCCAGAACTGCCAAGATGATCAAGCGGCGCTATCCTGGCATTCAGGTTGGTGGTCCTGCCTCTGGTTTCTCACCCAGCTTCTTCCTTGGATCAAAGACTTCCTGAGGCCTCTTGGCACTTCAGCCATAGGCTTCTTTTTCACTCGAGTCGAACTTTTTTACCTTGGCGCGATGGGTAGAGGATGACCCAGGGTTTGGGAATGAACCGGAAGCGAATGGATTGCCCCTAAAGAAAACAATGGGGGATGATGTTTATGGAGTGACCCCCATTCCCTGCCTACTCAAAAAAACCTCCGACGCCTTCCAGATCCGCCGCTCACTGTTCGGAGTTCGGAAGGCACGTGAAGGTCCAGGGCGCGCCACTGGATTTTTTCAGCTTCCACTACTACGGCCAAGGCCAGGGGCAATCTACGGACATGGCATCGATGCCCGCGGCCTACCAGAGCTTCCTGGACGCCATCGCCTCCGTGGCACGGACCGAAACAAAAGCCGAAAAGAGACTTTTGGGCCAGGAGTTGGTGGGTGTTCCGGCTTTAAGTGGGCTCTCAAAATTGAAGTTGGTTTTTCTCCTAGCTGAAAGCTAGGGGAGAGTGATTTCCGGTTTCCGGCTGGGTAGGGGGCGTGCAGTTTGGCAGGTGCTGTTTGGGGTTTTGCGAGATCGACCGCCGGGTTCTAAGGGGCATACAGGTGACAGCACGGGCGCGGTTTTTGCAAGATTGACGGCAGGCTGTTGGGGGACATGCAGTTTGGGGTGCATGCATCGGCCTGTTTTTTTCGCTATTTGGGGCCTGTACTGGCGTAGTTTGGGTGCCTCTAAAATTTGGCTCCCACCCTTGGAAGGGTGGTAAAAAACATCACCTGGGCTGGTTTTGGTTGGGTGATGTTCAAAGAAATCCACCCTTGCCGTCACACCACACGCTGGCGTTTTTTGGGGTGAGTTCCCTTGAGCAGTCAAATAGGACGGAGTATTGGTGGACCGATGTGGATCGCTTGGGGCTCAGGTGGGAGGTTTTGGCAGCGTGCCTGTGGCCATCACGGAGTACAACTCGCCGTTTGTGCTGGGAAGCTTGGCGGTTACGTGGGTTCTTTGTCAAGCCTGGCCTCTTGTTTTTTGCAGCCTTGCGGGAAATCTGGGCCATCTCCCGCCAACAATGTTGCCCGTTGGCAGTAGGGATGCAACCCCAGTTTCTAACTTTTACCCGACGAAGAGGTAAAGTCTATGAGCCCAGACGAACCAAGGAAACAGGAGCGCGTATGTTGGGTCCCTGGCGGGTGCTGCCGATAACGCGGCGAAGATGGCGTTTTGGGTGACACAGCCCAGGATGCACGCAGCTTTCCTCTATCAGGGGGTTTCGTGGCCGGTTTAGCTCACCTTTTTTCAATCATCTTGGAAAATGTATTTTCCCCAGCTGAAAGCTATGATTTTGGTCTATGCCCAGATAGGCTGTGGGGTGGTTTGGGGCAGCTTTTAGGGAGGGTTCAAAGGGAGGGTTCTTGGTGTGCCGGAGCTGTTGGGGATACCGGGCTTATTTGGTACTCTTTTTGAGATTGATTTAAAGGAAAGGCCTTTTTTGATGGTACCCGTTTTGGGCTTGGTTTAAAGGGAAAGCAAAAGGAAGCCACCCACTTTGGGGGGGTGCCCTATTTCAAGAGGACTGCAGACTTCAAAAGCTCTTAAAAAGCAGATGGTTTGAGGGAGTAACCCTTTTAGTTTGGTGACAGAAGCCATGGCCAACAACTTTGGTCCGAAGCTGTAAATCTCTAAATCCTATCAACTTCTCGGCAAGAGGTTTTTGCCCCGCCATTTTGCCCCGCCCTGGTGATTTTTCCTTCTCCAAGGTTTCAGGCGCCTTCGAAGCGATGAATCCTTATAGCTTCCCCTTGGGCTGCTCCGCCACGGTGAAGGAGCCGGCCTCCAACTGCAGCGCCTGCGGCGCCGGGCTCCAGGCCGCGCCATTCTTCGTGGCGCCCGCGCGCCCGGACTTGGCGCCGCCGGCTCCCGCGAGGAGCCCCCACTGCGGCTGCGGCCCGCAAGATCTGCAGTGGATGAACAGCGAGGGAGCATATGGCGCCACAGGAGGGCGAAAAGCGGGAAAGCGGGAGTTGAACCAGTTCACCCGAGTTCTTGAAAGAAGCCAAAGCCCACCCAAGTTCTTGAAAAGCAATTAAACACAATGGTTTTTTGGATGTGACATGGCCAGGAGTGTGGGACTCCAGTTGCAGTTGTCCGTTGGGCTCTCTTCAGGGCTGCAGGGGCTGCGACAACTTCCACTGCCAGTTTGGCCCAGCCCCGGAGAGCGGCATGGGCGCCATCTATGCAGACGGCCTTCGCACCCCCTCGGGTGTGCTGCTGAGCATGCTGCGAAGTGCGCAGGCGAGCCGAGTGGTGAAGATGTCAGGAGTGGAGATGTTGAAGGCCAAAGGCGTGTACCCTTTGGCTTGGGAGGAGTACGGGCAGGCAGTGTTGCTGCTCAGCAATCCTTCCCCAAATTCTATCCATGGACTGCCCTCAGTGGATGAGTTGATACCGACAGCCCGCTGGGTTTGGCAAGCCGTTCGTCTGGCACAGAGGTCAAAAGACTCAAAGGATATCAGTGGCCTGGATGGCTTTGATTCCCCACTTCCGTTGCTTCCCCAGAATTAGTTCCGCCTTTTATTGTTTCCCCCCCCCCCCCCCGCTTTTTTGGGGTTCCCTTTGTTTTCCACTAACCAGGCAAAAAACAAAAGATTCTTTTGCCGGGGTCCTCATTCCAGCCAAGGTTGCTGGGCTACACTCAGGATGCGCCAAGGTTTAAGGGACCGGCGCGCCAGAAGCTGGGCCCTTTAGAGGCTTTCCAAGTTGTACAGCTTTGGGTCTCCTTCGCCGGCTGTGTCTCGGCTTACGGGGGCGACTAATTTGAACTTTTGGTTCCCTGGAACACAAAGGCTTTGCCAAAGCGCAGCCCTTAGGTGAAAGTCTCGAAGTTTTAAGAGAAAATAACAAAAAATGGGGAGCTGTAAAATAATGAGGCAATTATAGGTTGTGGAAGTGTTGTGTGTTTGTGTATGCTCGTTGTTAGGTGTATTGTATGTTGCGCGTGTTGGTGCGTTGTGTGTTGTGTGTTGTGTATGTGTTTGTTTTACGAAAATGTTTATTTGTTTGAGTTTGTATATAGGTGTGTATATTGGTTATCGTTATTGTATACTTATGACATATATATATATATATATGGTGATATAATACAGATATTGGAATATTGTGTTAATGAATGTGTTGCATTGCGTATATGAAATTGTGTGTATATGAATGTTTTGTGTGCATATGGTTGATGAAATTGATTTATGTATTTGTTGTTGGGAACGGTAAAATTATGAATTGTGATGTGTTGTTGTGTTTTTGGAGATTGGGAATTGAATAAAATAAAATATATGATTAAAATTATATAAATTATATATATATATAGTTTAAGATATATTGGAAAGAGAAAAAAAGAAATGATATAGATAATTGGATGAATGAATAATTTGTTTTATTATATATTTGTATTTGAATAGTTGAGATATATTATATTGATTTAACTAATGAATTATTAGTTGATTTGAATGGGTATATGGAATATTTGTATGTTAGATTGTTTTTCTAATTAAAATTGAATTTAATATAATTGTATATTGTTTTATATTTTATTTGGATAAATTTGAATATGAATAATATATATAATTTGGAAAAATATTTGAGCCAAAAAAAGAAATATGAATGAAATTGAATGAATTATGGAAATTATTCTTATTGTATATAAGTTTATTTATTTAGATTGTTGTTTATTCATATTATGATTCTTTTTTTTTATAATTATATAATGGTGGTTGATTATATTTATTTTGGGAATTTTTAATTTGGGTAATATAATTAAAAAAATATTATTGAAGTTAAATTATTTTATTTGGCTATATATTTATATATATTTTTATCGAACTAATTTTTTAAGTTATGAATATATTTTTTATATGATATATAAAAAAAAATGAATTTTGAATTGTTATAATAATATTATTCCTTAAAATCTATAAATTGAGTTAAAATTATGTTTTGATAATTTTTATATATATTAATTAATTTTAGTAATTTAATAAATTTATAGATAATTATTATGTAAATTTTTATTAATACAAGATAAATATGTATTTGGGGATTTGTTCCATAGTTTACAAATAGACCATATGCTTCTAGACCCCTTTCCTAATTATGTTTGAAATATCTCCCTAAGAAGGACGATAGTTTCTTTCGCAACACCTTCAAGTCGAAGAATTTGTTGGGGACATTTAAACCAGTATTATTTCCCTAAAGAAATAATTAATTGTTTATTGGTTTTGAGATATATATTTCGTCGTGAGATTTATGTCTTCGGTCGATTCTTTCCTTTTTTTGGTATTGATTATATAATCTTTCAAATTTGTGAAATATATTCTTGCCGAACTGCAAAAAGGAAGTGCCTGCAATACTAAAGTAGAATTGGGCCCCAAAACCCTCCATTGTTTGGACGTCCCAAAAGTGCACCCCCATTATTTTGGCGCCTCCATTGTTTGGGGGGGGGGGGCCCTTTATTAATCAAGTGCCAACATTAATGAAAACCATTTGTTATTTATAAAGGAACTTATTCAAATGTCCATAAATGTTTTCGGCAGATTTCCGCCAACCCAAAGGTCGCTTACCCCGGCAATTTTGAGAAAATGAAATTTTCATATAATATAATATAGATATATATCAAAATTATTCATATCCGAAATTTACAGATGGAAAGAAGGAGAGATTTTGCTCCACAGGTTCTTAATAACGATATGAAAAATCCAAAAATATATATTTTTCGGGTAACGACCATTAAATAAATCAAAAAGGAAAAGGAAGACGACAAGGATATCGAAAATCCATTCTATTTTAGTATTGCAGCCACTTCCTTTTTGCAGTTCTATTTTAGTATTGTAGCCACTTCCTTTTTGCAATTCTATTTTAGTATTGCAATCACTTCCTTTAGTATTGCAGCCACTTATTTTTTGCAATTCTACTTTAGTATTACAGCCATTTCCTTTTTGCAATTCTACTTTAGTATTGCAACCACTTCTTCCTGAGCAGACATTTTGGAATACTACTTTAATATTGCAACCACTTCTTCCTGAGCATACTTTTTGGAATACTACTTTAGTATTGCAACCACTTCTTCCTGAGTATACTTTTTGGAATACTACTTTAGTATTGCAACCACTTCCCTTTCAGTTCTTTCTGTAGCCATTCAAAGGAGTTTGCAGTTTCAGGGCTGGGGATGGTTTTCAACGTTTCTGAGGTACACAATTTTCAGCTTGTTGCTGAAAGAGATTCAGAGTTTGGGGGGGGATGGTTTTTTTAATTAAATTTGTTTTGTGGAGTTTTTTTTAATTTTCCCCTTGGCCAAAAAACATTTCTATTATTCTGGTCCCCTTAAACAATCACATTATTGTGGTTCAGTGGGGTCTGTGAGGGGTACCCTTGTCCTGATTGTTTTTTTTGCATTTTTTTTAGCACGGTTTAATAAAGAGTTTGCAGTTTCAGGGCTGGGGATGGTTTTCAATTTTCTGAGGTACACAATCTTCAGCTTGTTGCAGAAGGAGATTCAGAGTTTGGGGGGGGGGATGGTTTTTTAATTAATTTTATTTTGTGGAGTTTTTTTTGAATTTTCCCCCTAACCAAAAAACTTTCTAGTCCCCTTAAACAATCACATTATTGTGGTTCAGTGGGGTCTGTGAGGGGTACCCTTGTCCTGATTATTTGTTTGCATTTTTTTAGCACGGTTTAATAAAGAGTTTGCAGTTTCAGGGCTGGGGATGGTTTTCAAATTTCTGAGGTACACAATCTTCAGCTTGTTGCTGAAGGAGATTCAGAGTTTGGGGGGGATGGTTTTTTAATTAAATTTGTTTTGTGGAATTTTTTTTATTTTCTCCCTGGCCAAAAATATTTTCTATTATTCTAGTCCCCTTAAACAATGGGTATGAACCAGAATAAGGAAAAAAAATCTATTATTCCGGTACCCTTTACTAATCGAATACCAATATTATTCATTTAATTTTATATATATGTTTCCAAATTTTTATAAATATGATATATATTTATTTGATATATTATTTATTACTTTATTATATTATATCTATAAATTTATATTCTAATTGAATTATTATAAATTATAAAATATTAAATATATACATATATATATATATTAGTGGGGGCCCGCTGCTTTCCAGCAGCGTGCGAGATGAAGCCTATGGCAGGAGAGTAACAGAATTAGAATATGAAATAAAAAAGCAATATTCCAATTAATAATCATAAATAGATATGCACGATCATACTCACAGAGATAAACAGACCGTGCAAAATCTTGACGAAAAACGATTTCGGAATATTTCGAGAAAATGGATAATTGTGATTTTGAGCTTTGCCTTAGACTCTATCCAGACAAAAGATTTCGAAAGATTGTATATTCTATTAAATTAGAGATCCAATTCTAGAAACCCAAATAATTGAAAACAAATTGTAGATGGAATTTCTCAGTAGTATCTCAATATATTTCCTGAAGCACTACGATACACAAAACAACAATGTGCTTGAGGTGTCCGATACCAGCGCATAGATATATAGTCAGTGAAATGCGATCGCCTAAACAAGAGGAACGGACCCGTGGATTTTTAACCTCAAAAAATCCATCCTCATACACAGTTATTTCAATGCATGCAAAAACACCATCAACCAAAAAACATCCTAGGTGCAAACAAAACCGAATTAATTTCGTTCAAAGCATTAAAAACAATAATAATCGGTTCTCACATCACCAAACTCTCGCAAAACGGACACAATATTTCAACAAAAATAATAATGGAATATCTAAATAAATTATTTTTCTAACTTCCCAAGAAATGTTCCTTATAAATATGTTCGTTCCACAGCAAGCCATGCCAATCATAAACTCGAATCTATTAAATTAGGCGAAAGAATTAGAATAATTTTGTTAACAATTAGAGGATATTATATTTGGGTATACGTAATATTTAAGAGCAAGATTTCAAATATTATATTTTAGATTATATAGTAGACACAAACAAACAAACACAGACAGACAGACAAAGAAACAAATAGAGACAAACACCGACAGAGAGACAGAAACAAAAAGCAACACACCTCCGGCGCGCAGCGCGCCGGATTCTGATGTCGACGTGCCACAGGCTTCGCCTGCGCACGTGCATACGTCCGACTCCGAGCCCGAGAGCCGTGATGCAGACGGGCTGCAAGAACATGCGTGCAAGCTCTCGGCTGCGCGTGCCTCAGTCGCTTGTCCCCTAACGCCTTCGTCCAGTGGAGTGAGCCAGTGGGAAACGGTTTATCACGCGCTTGTCTCGGCGCTGCCCCGCCGTTCTCCTTGCCCTCCACGACGGCCCGTGGCCAGGAGGTGGTTGCAGGTGTTCGGCGGCCCTCTTTGGATTGGGCCGGATTACTACCGGCCTGGTTTGGATTGGTAGTTTAGATCGGTAGTTTGGATCGGTGTCTTGCCGCGAAGCCTCGCGAAGCCAACCATTCCACAAATTCTGGCCCCGCGAAGCCCCCCGCATAGCCTCCCCAGCAATATATAAGTCTAAAACAAATTACACCAGCAGAGACCCCAAACAGTTGAGGGCTGACGGGCGAGCACAAACATGCCAACAGCTTGTGGCTTTCTGCGCTTCAACACGGATGAATCAAAATGATGCAGTCGTGAACCTGGCGCGCGTTGCGTTGCTGCACGTGTGTTGCTGGCGTGCTTGGCGCTTCAGCGCCGCACCAGAACTGAGGTTGGGCAAGCGCGCGCGATGGCGGGCGAGCGCGCGCGCGTGAACGCAAGTGTGGCCGCGCAAGCACGCAGTCACATGGGCAGTTCAAACACACATGTCCAATTCAGACACATGTGTGTACACGTGGAACACACATACGTATACGA